ACTTAATGCCAAATCCTGAATCGTTTGGAGCAGATCAGTATAAAGCGTGCTTTCATGGGACCAGCATCCCGCTTCGAGTCCATTCACTTGTAGTGTATTTTCCGTTATATGACTCGTTACTAATCCACCGAAGGGGCTCAACGGTTGCGTTGGAGCGGACTCACTCTTTGACGCGCCGGGGCAGGGTTAATTTTGGAATGACACGTGGCTTCCGCATGTCACAGCGCCGGCCGGCTCTCGTGTATCGGGCCGGTGCACTTTTCTTTCCCTCCATTAGATAGCGACGTCGTATTGATTGATATTTTTCTCTTGGATATCTACAGGAGTAATTTTGGATTATTGATTCATGTGTGTGTGTTTTTTTTAACGTTTTCGAGGTCTTTATTCGTTTCTCTTTCTTGCCTTACTCCGACTCAGGTGATGCAGTGGGTTTCTTCCCCACATTTGGCCTCCTTTTGGTATCTGTTTGCATTAGAGAAATATATATATATATTTTTTTTTCTTTCTTTTTTTATTTGAATTGAAGATGCAGAGTCAAAAGGCAGGTGGTAGAACCACCGAGAATTCGGGAGGAGCGAAAAGGAGGCTGGAGTGATGTGTCGTTTGCGTTAGATAAGCGGCTTGCTGTGATGTTCGTATTGAAAAGGACTCTACTTGAAGCCTTTTGTTTGCAGTTGTGCATATGCGTTTGCGTATAGTTGTATTTATCTCTCTCTCTTCTCTTCCTCTCTCTCTCTGCTCTCTCTCTCCTCTCTCTCTCTCTCTCTCGTCTCTCTTCTATCTCTCGTCGTCTCTCTCTCTGCATGCTCACTCTCTCTCGTCTCGTCTCTCTCTCATCTCGTCTCTACTCGCTGCCCCTCTCCTTCCGTCTTCTCCCGGACCGTCCCCGTCATCCTCCCTCTCCCCTCGTTACAACTTTCCCCCGTCCACTTGGTCCTGTCTCGCAGAATCTCCATCGTTTCTTTCGTCATACGCATCGTTCTCGCCTTCAATCTCTTCTCATGCTCCTTTTTCCCTTCTGTGCTCGCTCTCTACGACTCTCTCTCTCTCTCTCTCTCTCTCTCTCTCTCTTTCTCTCTCCTCCCCCGTCTCTCTTTTCTACCAACAACAGCAAACGTCTCTTCTCCCGTCTCCTTCTACTCTCTCCATACCATCGTCTTCCTCCATCTCTCTCTTCTCCTCCTCTCTCTCTCTTCTCCTCCTTCTCTTCATCTCCTCTGCTCCTCTCCTCTCTTCCTCTCCCTCTCTCTCTCTCTCTCTCTCTCTCTCCTCTCTCTCCTCCTCTCTCTCTCTCTCCTCCTCTCTTCTCTCCCTCTCCTCTCTCTCTCTCGCTCCTACTCCTCTCTCTTCCTCTCTCTCCTTCTCTCTCTCCTCCTCTCTCTCTCTCTCCTCCTCTCTCTCTCTCCTCCTCTCTTCTCTCTCTCCTCCTCTCATCTCTCTATCCTTCTCCTCTCCTCTCTCTCTCTCGCCTTCTCTCTCTCTCTCTTTTGGTTTTGTCGCTTTCTTTCTGCAGAAGTAGCCAAGTAATAAACTTGGATCGATCGTTTCTATATTTGGATTTTGTAATTTTGTAACCTCAAATGTCATCTCATCATTGTTGCAGTGCCATGATTGCATCCAGTGATTTTATGAGCTTTATTTTTATATGCGTAGTCATAAGTTGCAAAGACATTTTTCCTATTGTCTGGCTCACGTCAAGGCGGAGGTCGTGCGAGACTACGGTTGCTGTTAGGAGGAGTCTCTCATCTTGCGAGGATGACTAAAACCCGCAATTTCGCCAAGGCATCGTCTGTGATTTCCGACCGAGGCAGGCATTCATGGGCATAACACTGGCATGCAAGTTACTTTCTTTTTTGTGTTCTGTAATGCGGTTGTTGTTGTTATTCTTGTTATCAATATTATTATTGCTGTGTTATTTCTTGTTATTATTGCGTTTAGTTGCTAATGCGCAGATTTAGGTTCCGTAGATCGGGATGCACGAATTGCATGTTCAACACAAAACAACCTTATGTATCATGCTTATGAGAGGACACATTTTTCCCAGCGTGTAAGCTTTCCAACCCCCCGCTCCATCTCTCTCTCTCTTCTCTCTCTTCTCTCTCCTCTCTCTCTCTCTCTCTCTCTCCTCTCTCTCCTCTCTCTCTCTCTCTCTCTCTCCTCCTCTCATCTCTCTCTCTCTCTCGTCCCCATCTCTCTCTCTCTCCTCCCTCTCTCCCTTCCCTCTCTCCCTCCTCCTCTCTTCCCTCCTCTCTCCCTCTCATATCTCTCCCTCCCCCTCTCTCTCTCCCCTCCCCTCCTCTCCGTCGCCTCCCCCCTTCTCTCACTCCCCTCCCTCTCTCTCTCCCCTCCGCTCTCCTCCCGTCTCATTCCTCCCTACCTTCTTCCCTCCCTCTCGTCATCTCTCCTTTTCCTTCTCTCTCTTCCACCTCTCTCTCTCTCTNTCTCTTTCTCCTCCTTCTCTTTCTCTCTACTTCTCTCTCGTCTCTTACTCTTCTCCTTT